TAGAATTGTAAAAGATTATACTGATTGGGATTTCAGAAATATGTGGCTGTTGGTCATGTTATTGGGGTGGTTGCATTTACACCTAGCTTTCTTACAAGAAAATGTTTGGGCATTTCACTGAGGCAAAAAAAGACTGGCCATAATAATTATGGGGGTCAATGAGTATTTGGTTTGATGCACCTCTTTAGAAATTCCAGTACAGCTTTGTACTTTCCTTCAATGGGTTTGGCCATCCCCTTTAAGCATCCCAGTTTGATCCACCTATGTGGGTGGACATCCAGTGAGCATATGGATCAGATAAAAATTCTTTCTATTCAGGTTGATACTTCAAAAACGGTTTATTTTTTCTATTTTAAATTATGATTACATTGGCAAACTCTATTAATTAAAGCTAAGAGGCATGTAAAACTCAATGTCTTTGTGGATCCAGTAACTTGTTTCATCCAAGTTAATCCTAGTTGAACATTAACTTATCAATTTCTACTTTCACTCCTTTTACCCACTGTCCTCAAAACCTATGTATATTATTTTAACTATTAAGCCTTATAATCCATCGAATATTTTCACTTGAGCGTGATTGGTCTAAACACATCATGGGACTGAATATTCCCCAGCTCAAACTGGGGAATATCCGAGAATATTCCCCAATTTTCAACACTGTGTGCATTGCGAAAAAGATTTGAAGAATAGTAAATGCAATAGCCTCCATTTAGGGCGAAAATATGCTCGGATATTTGTCCTTGGACATTATCTGTTCCTCGAAGCTCACAGTTTTCCTCGAGCTACGCTCTTAGAAAACTGTTCGCTTCTCGGAACAGATAATGTCTGCGGAAAATATCCTTTGGCTAGCATATTTTTGCACCAAATGGAGGCTATTGTTTGTATAAATAGTGATAACACTGTTGAGATTAACATGGAAAACTTCTCCCTGCTGACTACTGTTTTCAGGACAGTGTTGAACAAATATGGACACACAGCCCTATATTACGGCCAGTTCACTTTGTCCCAGAGAAACCATATAATCTCTGCCTGTATCATAGTGACACTCAGCTATGCCTATTTGGCATCTGTATAAACAGGTTAGACTGTATAACTATTTTTTATATTTTTTGTTGCCCAAGAATAAAAGTCTGACAGCTTTTTTTTTCATAGTCTGAGAAACTGAGTTTCTCCAACCTTCTCTAAGCCTTTAATCATGACAGAATAATCAGCATGCAAGAACAGCCCAGGATGTTTCCCACAACTCCGCTTCTTTCTAATATTTGTACTGTACTGGGGAGAAAAGAAAGACAACTTCTCAGCACAAATCATCAATTGCTCGTTGTTAAAATGACCAGCACCGCTTCTTTAAGAAATTTAAGCCCATTGAATTTTCCTCAGTAGTAAGATTTCTCCCTAACTGCCTCAGTCACAAAAGCTTATGAATTCAAGCAAGATAGGTAATTAACAATTAAGACCCCAAACAGATGAATTCATTGACTTGAAGGACTGTTCACAATATTATTACTGATCTCAAATTTGACTTGCTTTACTTTTGTGACATGATCCACTGTCAGTTTTAGTGTTCTCCTTTTTTGATCAGCACTGTGAACTAAGGCATACACATACATCTGCCATAAATCATCAGTGTAGCTTTAAGATTATAATCATAATGTGTTCAATTCAAACAAGATTTTTTCCATTTACAATAACTAATTAACAGTTTCAGCCAATTCAGACATCTGCCTTTCAACAACTGCTTCACGATGAACCACGTCTGGGTAAAATCTTGTGAAGCATTTTTGGCAGTGACCATGCCTGTCTGCTGCGGCAACATTGGCACAACCAGTTACTCTGCACTGTTCTGTTGATGTGGTGCAGGATGCAACAGACGATGATGAAACTTCAGCTGGGAAATCTACCAAAAGATTGAGAATAAAAATTCAGTTAACACATGCAGGAAGAGTATAAATTGCTCATGATGACAAAAAATTAGGAGAACTTCACCTCTTAGTTCTTAATGCACCTTATCATACCACCTGTAAGTTGATTCATTTCTTTCATGTTTAAGCTACATGTAGTACACAGCTCAATGAACATTACCTGGAATTGAATGAGGGTATGACTGAGGTATTGTGCTTTCCAAAAAGCACCTGGAGCAGTAGCCATTCATCTCTGGTGTTCCAAACAGGGTGCAGTTGGTCCCACAGCATTTCTGACCATGTAAGGCACCATTTCCCAAACTCGAGTTCTGACCACTTGTGCCAGACTCATATGACGGACTTTGAATCTGGGAGACTTGCACAGGACCTTGTAGTCCATAAGATCTGTTGCCGAACTGATGATTCTCTACAGTATTGTGAGTATTGCGGAGGTCCCACGTGTGGTTTGAAGCCTGTTGTTGCTCATTAGCTCCAGTAGCTGCTGATGCACCTTGCTGTTGGTTGCCCTTCTTGTGATAGCAATCATCGCAAAGGCCATTTTTCTCTGGGCTGCCAAACTGCATACATCCTTTAGAAGGACATGGTAGCAGTGTTGCCTTTTTCTTGGCTGCTGTTGCCTCGGTCTGTTGAATATTGCTACCAGAGCTGGTCTCAGCAATATTGCTTTGTTCCACCTTTGAAAAGAAATCAACCAAAAAAACATGCAATTGAGATCACAGCAGGGACTTCTGGCTTACAATATCTGGTAAGAATGGATTTACCCATGTGCAACTCTGGGTTATAAGGACCTTCAGGTAAAGTATGCTGAACATCAAGTTTGACTCAGAATGTATACTTGGCAATCAAAATTTTTTCAATCTGTTCACAATGGACTGAAAAGTTGTATTCATACTCCATCTTGTACTGTTTGTACTTTAATCTGAAGGTCCCTAGTATATAATGTGAAAGACACTTTTAATTAAGAAACTGCAGTATATACTTGCAACATGGATGCCTCTCCATCGACAAGTTGTGTAAAATGTGATTGAGTCAGCAGGGGAAGAAAAACTTTGATTGACTTTGGCTACATACAACTCAGATCTACTGTCGCAGTAGATCTCTACATGTACATGTACATGTAGCAGAGTGATATCTCATTATAACTATGTTTCTATCTAGACCATACAAATTCACATCAGATGAGTGCATACCTGGTTTCTTGTGACTGATCTAGATGCTACGGGTCTTTGTTGTCTGGATGGCTGGGAAACTGTTTGTCTGTTAAGTTCCAGCTGATAAGCTGCAGCATAGCACTGCTCACACAAACCACCTTCCTGCACTGCTGGTTTTCCACAGCCCACGACACACTTGCCAGTGTTAGCTCCAGAAGGTGGTAATTGAGCTGAGGTCACTTGACGTGGAAGGCCCATCTCAGAAGTGGTATACATTTGTGACATGGCACTTGAGTAAGCTAGTGTGTTTTGCCTTGGTGGCATACTTGATACTGTGGTAGCTGCATCAAACGGTCTCGTTGGCTGTTGCAAACTAACTGTAGGATTGACTTGCAAGGAGCCAGTGCTCAGACTTTCACATCTCTGACATAAGCCTCTTCCATTCTTTCTTCTTGGATTGCGACACATTGGATTGGAACAGTAATTATTATTATAGCCAATAGCACTTGTAAGTGCTGATGTGAGTTGATGACCAGAAGCAGCAGAAGCTGTTGCTGTCAAAGAAGCTGTTGCTGTCACGGAGCTCTGAGGAGGTGGAGGTACTGGAAAACTTGCCATGCCTGCTGTGGTCACTGAAGCATTTCTCGTCTGTGAAGATGGAGCAGTGTTCCTTGCATGACATTCTGCACATAGGTCAGACAAATGAAAGATTCCCTCATTGCAGCAACCAGGAGAAGCACATAGGACACCTTTGTTCCTCCCACCTGTAGGTAACTGTTTCTTTCTCATGACATCCACTGGTGGTGATGGCTGATGTGGTCTAGTTTGCGTCGCACCTCCAACAGATCTTCCTTGAGTACGTATAAAGGAATGTATACAACGAGTGTAGCACTGAACGCACATACCATACAATGCAGGGACACCAGGAGATAGGCATCCTTGAATCTGGCATTGGTCTGGTGGTGTCGATGCTGTGGGACTGCTTGGTGGTAATCCAGTAGGGGACAGCACTCCCAAAGTGTTTTCCATATTAAGACAGAAGGTTCTGTAGCACCTGGAACACAAGTTATGATGTTCAGGCAAGCCAAAGAACTCACAGCCATTCACACTGTTTGAACAATGCTTTGCTGAGGCCAGACTCATGTGATTCATGCTTGCTGCCATTTCTTCGGCACTTCTCTCAGCTTCAGAGCACCTCTCACAAAGACCACCTCCATTAGGAATAGCTCCATACTTACATCCTGTGGTACGACATTTAACAGACCTCGCTGTAGGGAGGGTCATGGAAGGTGCCACGCTCGTAGTAGGTGCTGCCTGTGTTGTTACGATGTGTTGCCATGCACTGGTATTTGGTGCTTGTTGTGCTGTTACTGCAACAGGTTGCGGGGAGGTAATTGGCTGTCCTGTAGGAACATGTTGCCTTGGTTCAGAAGCAGGTCCCAAGGTCCTTAGAAACTCATTTAGGCATTTAGAGCAGCGGTTACCAGTTTCTGTGGATCCAAAGAAACTGCAGCCCTGAGTTTGACATTCCACAATCTGTAGAGCTGGCTGTTTGGTACCTGGTTGCAATTGAACATGAAGTTGACTGTGTCTTGATACTCGCTGGTGTTCCTCCCTAGCCTTCCTGAAGTACCCATCAATGAGCTCTTTCATGCAGCGTGGTTGCTCTGAAAAGTGCAGTTTTGCAACAAGAACTGTTTGCCTGGTTTCTCCTTGATTGCTTGAAAAGGGTACCTTTGCACAATCTAAGTACTGGCGGACACGGTCACTTGCTAATGGTGCTTCATGATCGTAAAGGAAATGAACAGGTAATGGAGTTCCATCATATTTTACTAATGGCACAGCATGAATGCAATTACTTGAGCTGCTTGCTGTTGGATTGTTTTCAATGCCTAGATCCATTTTACCATCTTGAATACTGATAACTGCTGTGAAATGTCCACCTGCATAGCCAATTACCAACGGACTTTTCACACAGTCAACAGAGTCCCAGAGCAGAGGTAAATAGATACCTCCAAAGTTTATTGGAGAGTACGAATCGCCATAAGGTCCCCTCAGGGTGTCATCTGACACCACAATGATGGAACGACGCAGAATATTAGCAAGGACAAAGATGTGAATTTCTGCAAGGCTTCCAAACTGAGCACCATTTGGGCCACATGGGAACTCAGTCTGAGAAATGAGCCTGATAACCTCCTCCCATTCATGATTCCACTGTTCCTCTGTTCTGTCGTATCCACCAATCTGATGTAGTATCTGCTGTTCTTCTTCAGCTTTCCAACGGCCATGGTAAAATCCTAAAAAAAAGAACAAGGTATCGACTTTAAATGACTTTTTTACAATAAGTTGGCAAATTATTTTCTTTAGCCCTCACCAAATCAGGCAAGTGAGAATGAGAAGTTATTTGCCCAGTACTTTTTACGAGCCCTGTATTTCACGTATAACTAAGAGGTTCTTAATTACAATGGCATGCAGTGTTGACACAGGATAATTTTCTCAACATAAATCACTTTTGGTTTGAGTTAAGAGTTAATTTTGGTACAAGAGAAGGAAGCCTTTAGTGCATGACTTGAATTTCCAATTTTTCAGTATCCAGTCAACCATAGCCACTTTGTACATAGTTCCCATAGGAACTTCACTCAACAATAATATTTTGTTTTGTATGCTGAACAAAGCAGCACTTTTTTTTACTTCCTTATGAAATCTAAAACAAAAATGTTCATAATTATTTATATCTCAATTACCAGCAAAGAAGGACATTGAAAGATTAAGATTATGAAATATCACTTAACATATATTTCAATCTTTCCTGCATAGTCACCCCTGGGGGAGGGGTAACTTTTACATTCTTATGTAAGGGGCAAAGCTGGGCAAAAGCGACCACCAACCCCCTCCTCTCCCATTCCCTTTTTATAGACCTTAACTTACTTGTACCTTCCACGTCCTCCAGTAATGCTTCGTAGGCAGTTTTTCTCAGTGTTTGATATCTGTCGTTCACTGCCCACATGCCAATGGAAGCTGCATGCATAAGACAGTTTCCATCACCCAGAGTGTTCACCGTGACCATACGGCCCAAGGAGGAACACCAATTGAGTCTCCTCGCGGCTTCAAGTTCCCTGAGAATATAGCCGTCGACTAGAAAGCTGTACACGAATTTGCGGAACTCGATAGTGAAATCTTGAAATGACGTTAGCACGAACGAATACTTGGTCGACGAGTCGAGATAGCGGTGTTTCGTGACGTCCTCTGGCACCACGACATCTCTGCGTACGATTTCTCTCACGTCCAAAGCCGAGTCCAAATCGTTCAAGGATATGTTTCGTTCAAATAGATGACTGGCTGGCTGAAATGAAGCCATTGTTGTTGCTCGTAGATGGATCACAGATTGAGTCCGCTAACCAGAATCTTTTCTTCACAACCCTTTCACATTAAATGGATCCAGTCGATTCCAACATTAACGATTTCAAATTAAACATGAACGACAATCGGATCACCTATAAAAAAGCACACCTAAAACAGGAAGTGAACTTGTGTCAATGTTAGGGAAATTATAGGCGACATCATCAACCGAAAAAACCCCAGTGCTGACCTTCTTACTCTCTTCAAAACTCATACTAAACTATCTTCAACAAAGGCTCACCTTTTACGCAGTAAAACTCCGCAAAGCGTTCTTCGTAAAACGAAACTAAAATAGCGACAACATTCTCCTTTCAAAGTTGGTTTCAGGGATTTTTCCCGCGGGGAATCCCCGACCCACCCTACTTGGGGATTTGACGGTTAGCCAATCAGAGCCTATCAACCTTCTCGGGGGTAGGTACAACTATATTATTGCGCTTGAAACACTGTTTTTATTTGGCAGTATTTCTCTCGTTCAAATCTTCATAGCAGGAATTAAAAAGATCCCTTTTGAATTTCTGGTGATATTCTGGGTGAGTTTGTAGATCATAGCGTTGATAGCGTGTTCTTTGTTGTAAATGTTACCCACCCTACCCTACAAGATATCACCCTTCCGCTTTTAACAAATCGCAGGCTCATCACAAAAAAAGCGATGCTGTAATCGATGTCAGATTCTTTTCTTAGCATCTGGGGAAATTTTTTGCTCCTCCCAAGCTGGTAAACAAGTTCAGGTTTGTGCATGCTAATTGTCTTTATCCTTGAGGGATTTAGTTCTGGAAATATTTGATTTTTTTATTTTTCACAAGCGAAAAGCCTCGGTGAAACCTGCTACTTGTTGCTAGAACTAAAACTAAACTTGCAGCGACCACTTGCAGCTCTAATTAAGCTTTTGCCTTTTCATTTTCCAGTTTTATCAAAGTTCAGAGAAGGAATAAATGTCGCTAATGATAGTTATCAAACCCATCATTTGCCAAACAGATCGACCGTACTTAGATCAAGCCAAAAGGTTTTTTCTTTCGATCGTGAATGTTGCGGACAATCACGTGTCTTCGAGCTCGTGCATTTTGTCTTGTTAAAAAATTTAAAAGTTTTCTAATTAATGTGTACGAGTACTTTTTTTAGAGGCTTGGGAAACTGCGTTAGATCAGATAGTAAACATCTGACTCCTTGAATCCTGGTCCAAAGTTCTTACTAGATGTTTTGCTTATCTTTCCCTAGATTAGGATTACGTGTCACCCTATATATTCAGACCTGGGATGGGGGCAGAATCCACCTCCCCACCCCACCCTCCCATCATTGAAGGACAAAAAGACCCTGGTCTGAATAGAGTGAAAGCTTCTTGCATTTGCAGATATCAGAAAATTCCAACCAGTCATCCATTTTGTCATTTCCAGTGGTACCCAACTTCAGCATCATTCCAGACTGTCATTATGGTTTACCATGGTTTTAAAAGTTGTGTGATATGGCAGCAAAATGGACATACTGTGCAGGGCTGTCATTAAGTTTTGAGTCACCTGTAGCTTTGTTCTCCACACTCGTAGAAAACTTGTTACCGGTACTTTGTGGGTGAATTCTATCAACAACAGGCAGTTTCACTGGTAGCGTCAAGGGAAATCAAACATACCCAGCCATAACTGGTGTTATGGGTTATGGTACTTGATGACAGCTCTGCTGTGTTCCCTATGTTTTTTCCTGGCCTGTTAAATTAGCTCTGATTATCACAGATAGTTAAGGGCATCTAAGCCATCATGTTTATTGTTGAACTTTTGTTGTTGTTTTTTTTTGTGGGACAGTACATTCAGGAAACAGCAAAATTGAAAATCTTCAGTTGGATTTTCAGTTATCAAGTAAATTTGTATTTAATTTTTAAGAGCAATAAGCCTAATAATTTATCTAATAAATCAGTTGATTGAAAAGGTTCTGGAGTGTTTCTGTAACTAAACTGAAAGCTTTATGTATCCTTCCTATAGAAATGGCATCTTCACCAAGCAGTAAAGGAAAAATTACAATAATCGGCAGGTTGGTGGTACTATCTCATGCAAACTAAATATTGACCATTGCACCATTTACAGTTTTACTGGCATTTTGCTATTCAATGTAAGTTTGTTCCAGCTATCACTAAACAAATTCATGTAACCCCAGAGAATTCAAACAGACATATTTGAGTTTTAGCTACATGTATAGCTGTACATAGTGGACCAACCTTTGTTGGACAGATCAAAAAGGACAAGACAGTACATTTTGAAGGAAGGAGAACAAAAATGGTTATAAATTCAATAAGTTTTTTTATTTGTTGTGAAATTCTTCTAAATGAAGCTGTACACTAGTGCAGATCTCATAGCAATTTTGTGGTCCTTCATAAATGTGCCAAATTCATATCACTGCCCATATAGCTAAGTAATTAGCTGGATCTGGACATGATGTCAGTGTGATCTTATCTGACTCAAGATCTATACCTGACTGTACTCTCTACAGGCCTTTCAATATGTCAACTGACTAAGAATATGTGAAAAGAGCTCATGTCATGTTTTGGTTTGATGGACAAAATTATACACAGTTATGAATTGCTAGGTACATTATACAGTCTAAACTCCTCATAAAAGGGCTTGGTCAGATTGCGCACTCC